GGGCCGCCGGGCCTCGGCGGCTGCGGGGAGGATGCCCGGGCCCCAGTGCTACCGTGAACCGATCCTGCGCCGTGCTGGGCGGGGTGCGGGGGGTGCGTTTCGGTGTGCAGGGGACCTGCAGCAAAGGCACAGGCCCCTGCGCCCTGTGGGCCCTATGTCCGTGTTGCGGCTGCCCCTGGTAACGGCAAAATGAAGGGGGGCCCTTCTGCTGCTGTGCTGCTCTAATGGCCAAGTCCAGAGGGATGGGTGCTGAGGAGAAGGCAATTGCGTCATTGAAACACGGGGTTGTTTTATCCATCAGAGAGCAACCTGGATGGGTTGTTTTTGTAAACTGAAGCATAGTTACTTAAAGAATCGTATTTACGCACCACATAAGGCTCTGGTTAAAAAAGAATGTTGAAAAATGTTGTGGTGTCGTAGGCTTAAGTGCTGGCTTTTCAACACCAATTAGCAAAATGCATCTAAAATCCAAATATGAAGGCAGTTACATTAATGGTTACATCAGTGGGTTTTTTGTGTTTTGTTTTTTTTTTCTTTAAGCAGAGCACCGCTCAGGAATACGCTCTTCAAAAGTGGGAAAGGCCCATTCTACAATGATGAATGCTGATATGGATGGTATAAGTTCTTAATGTTCTTGTTCTTCATTGTTGTTTTTTTTCATTTAATATATTTTCCAGCTGTTACAGACATTGCATTAAAGCACATATGATTTATTGCAGCTGTTGAGGCTGAGAATCAGGTGGAATTAGAAGAGAAAACGCGGCTTATTAATCAAGTTTTGGAACTGCAGCACACACTTGAAGGTTAGCAGTTTGACACATCCGATTTTTTACGACCACACAGTAATAAGAGAAGAAAGCCTTACTATTCTGCCCTACCTTAGTCAGAACTGTCCAGAAGCGTGTCACTTATGCAGTTGAAGGTACATAAACAAGGTCTCAGAACTACTTTTTTTCCCTTCTTTATGCAACAGAATGCTTGTTCAACTCTGGTAATACACATCAAGCAGAAGGGGCAATATGGCTAACGTTCCCAGGCTCGTTAGTGGATATACGTCCTTGAGTCTGCTCGTCACTGAACTTCTGTTTTCAAATAGTTTAGTTTGCAATAGCTTAATTCAAAAATTCATGAAAAGAATAAAGGTGCAGGCTAACAGTAAGTTTGTGTAAGTCTGTAAGTTTTTTTCAAAATACCATACTACAAAATAATATAGAAAAAATGAGCTTTAGATTGTGAGTAGCAGTGTTCTAGAAGATAATACCTTACGGCAATGTTTCCCACGTTAAAAATGCGAATAGTTTTATGTAGGCATATAGAATATATTCATGATTGTATGCAATGGTGTCTAATGTTTTTCTTATAATACTGCCTTTGCAGATCTCTCAGCACGAGTAGATGCTGTTAAGGAAGAAAACTTGAAACTGAAATCAGAAAACCAAGTTCTTGGACAGTATATAGAAAATCTGATGTCAGCATCTAGTGTTTTCCAAACTACTGACACAAAAAGCAAAAGGAAGTAAGGGTTGACTCACAGATGATGTCATTGTATTGCTGCTGTCTTTTTTTGTTTAATTGGCATAGGCAACATGAGCTAAAATACCTTAGATTGTGGCTTTGCTGGATACTCGAAGATTATAAACTTTGGTGATAAACAGAATTAAGAACATTATCATGAACAGGAGACGTAAGTTTGTGTATTGTTAAGATTAAGCAGTGTGTAAGTGTAGTGTAGAGACTTACTAAATTTTAATGTTTATTTTAAAAGTGAGCTGAGCTTGTTAAAAATCGGTTTCAGTTTGTCAGGTTAAACAAATGACTGTTGGCTCTCTTTGAGGTCTTAGGGTAGTGTTCTTGACTAGCAAAATAATAGTTATAATATTGTGTTGAAAACTTATTTGATAAAAATATTCAAAGTCTAATTGCATCACCTTTTTCACGCTAAATATATTCAGATTACTGTCCATAGCTCTGCAAAGCAACTTTAAACAAAAACCTATAGACCAGTTAAGAATTTCTATGAAGTAATAACAGTATGGCATTATTTACAAGGCTTGTGTACAGAAAAACACTTAGGATTTTTTGGGAAGGGGGAGGGTAAGAGAAGAGGAACAAGGATAAGGAACTTAGATCAGGGAAATGCCAAATTAATGCAGTATCAGAGTGTTTATAGTTTGTAAGACGTACACTTCAAACCATTCTCGCTTTCCTCAAAGAATGATCAGGCACAGCATCATGACGTATGATCTTCTTGAAGCTTTTCAGTTGTGTGATGAAGATGTAAATAAAAACCTGAGTAATAAGCTTTACTTATTAACGGATGTTCCTCATGCTGGTTGTGAGCAAGCTGCAGTGAGGAACTGAGAACAAGTCTCCTTGCCACCTTTTTTACTTTGCTCCTGAAGTGCCAAATTTGCCTTTGCTTCAGGCCTTAGAGCAGCTGTTTTCCTGCTCCAGAGCCTGAGCTTGTGAAGTACCTCTTGAGGCACTGCACATCATCATCTAAAGCAGAAGACTGCAGTGGAACAAAGGTGGTTTTTGCCTTTAAAATGTGCTGCTCCAGGCAATGCCTAGTGTCAACGTACCCTGTTTTTCACTGTCTTGGCTGCTTGTTAGCAGGTTTTGTAAAGGAGCTCAGCCCAGACTGTGGTTCTGAGTATTTCCCATAGAGGCATAATCAGTATTAATGCAGAGCATAAGTGGAAATACAAACAGCGATGTAAGTTTCAGCAGTGCTCAGTTGCATCTGGTTCATCTTGCCATGGAGCAGCACTGCAGACTTACTTATGGGTGTTACCTGGAACTGAGGTCAGCATCTTCAGTAATGAAGCCTTTGTCCTTTATCTTTTAAAGGAAACAGTTAGTTCAAGGATGTCTTGTAACCTTGCTGCAACGATTCTGTAAAATAAAGCTGAAGAAACTGAATGAGTGGAGTAGAATAAACCCCTCTCAAAATCCCAGTTTCCTGGCAGCTAAGCACTGCCATGTCTAAGCTGACATTTTGAGGTCCCCCTCCTGTCCCAAAGGAGAGGTCTCCCATTTCTCCCCATTTAAAATGACTGTACAGTGCTTACTGGAGCGTCAGCAGAGTCAAATGATTGCAAACCAAGCACTAAAGTTTGGTCTCGAGGGCTGCTTACAAGTCTTAGTTGAGAAACCTGATGATGAAAAAAGTTTTACCCACCAAGGCAGAAATGGCTGATACCATTTGTGTCACTGGGTTCTGTAAACATCCAAAATTATTTTAAATCTTCTATGGACTACTCTCATTTTACTGCTTATGTGGAACTCTAAATACAGCCAAGAATTGCTAACAGGTAGAGTGAATCACATGGTTAATCCAGGGTTTGAGCATTAAAGAACCAACCACCCCAGCAAGCACTTGACTTCTACAACATTGCATTGCACTACAGCCATCCTAGCTTTAAAGCCACACCCCTGCACATCTCCATCTGCACGGTAGGAGATCAAGTGGTTACAGAGCATGCGCTTGTTAGACTTCAGCAATTTCCCGACATCAAGTAATCTTAAAATCGGTTTTGAATTGTGAGGTTGGATAGTGATATTTTATCCATCGGTGTGTAGAACGTATTCATTTTGTCTATATACCATGTTACATCCCACTACTGTGGCCTTCATTAACTTATGAACAGTTTAAAGATGTTGTATTTCTCACTTTACACTAAATAAACACTTTTGATTTGTCTCTAGTAGTTTGGTTTAACATTTGTAAACTAAAACTTCTCATAGTGCTCTGTAGTCAAAAGGTGAAGTAGTGGGGTTTGCCGTAATCTTGTTTCTCCATAGCTGGAGTGTCTGAAAGACTAGAGGTAATAAAAGCAAGTATTGAGATTAAACCTCGGTTAATGTATTTGTTTTCAGTAAGCTTCCAGTCCCTGACTCACTTGGTATTTTCACCCATGAATCTTACATTTCTGTATACTTTTCTGTTACAGCTAAAGAAAAAAAGGAAAAGGTTGGCAGACTGCATCTGGTGGTATCAAAGATACAACAGCTATAACAGAAAAGTATGCAGAAATGGAGGATTCATGGGTGAAAAGATGAAGTTCCAAAGATGACTGGCAGTTTTCAGTAGCAAGGCATCCTGGATTATCATTAGTTTGTTAATTTCAAAGCACTTTCAAGCGGCCACAATAGCAAGATCCAATTACTTTTCCTGAAACACCTGTTCAGATAGAAACGGACTATGCACAGGAAGTGCAGGCTGAAGTCTCAGTGTTAAAAGTGTGAATGGAAAGGGGTTACTCCTTTTGTCTGGCTTTCTAGAGCTAGAGCATCCGGTCCCCAAAGCTGCCGTGTTTCTGCCCTAATTATTAGCCTAAGACTAGATCCAAGTAAGCTCATGTGGAAAAGGCTGTTTTCTGTGTCCAAGTTCCAGAGAATCAAAGTCAGTATTAAAGTGAGAAGAATCAGTATTCTTGCAAATGACACCCTTAAGTCATGGTCTCACAAGACAATTCCATCCATAATAAATGGTTTCTTATTTACTGAACTGAGGTACAGGCAAAGATGTTGATGGGGCATTAATCAAGACTTGGTGGGAACCTGAAGTTCAAAACCCTAAGGGAAGACTAACATACCCTATGGGGTGACCAATCCCTGGAGTCACTGTACCACACTGAGAAACTGATGTGCATTGATTAAAAAAAAAAAAACAAACCCAAAACCACACCCAAACAATTGCAAAGGACTTTTACCAGGCTCAGACAAGATTCATTCAAAAGAAGTGCTGAAACACTCACATCACTCAGCAATCCACACCCGTACTGCACAGGTTCCCTTTGTTACCACTTTATTGCTGCAAAGTCACAGGCAGGAGGAGGAATCTGGAGCTTGTGGTTTAGGCACAGCTGGTAACTGAGCACCACACGGCCACTCGCTTATTCCTTCCCCCAGTGGGATGTGAATATAACAAAAGGCTCATGGGTTGAGACAAGGACAGGGAGGGATCACTCATCAATTATGGTCTCAGGCAAAACAAGACTCAACTTGGGAAAAAAAAAAAATTGTTAACAACCAAATCAGAGTAGGAGAATAAGAAATAAAACCAAATCTTAAGAACACCTTTCTCCCACCCCTTTCTTGGATCAACTTTGCACTCAGTTTCTTTACCTCCTCCCCCCACCAGCAGGGCTGGGGGACAGAGAATGAGGGTTTTGGTCAGTTCATCACACATTTCTGTCGCTGCTTCCTCCGCAGGTGGAGGACTTCCCACACTTTTCCCCTGCTCCAGCATGGGGCCCCTCCCACAGGAGACAGTCCTACATGAACTGCTCCAATGTGAGCCCTTCCCACAGGCTACAGTTCTTCATTAACTGCTTCAGCGGGGATCCCTTCACAGAATCACAGAACATTAGGGATT